ATGCATTTTGCAAAAAACCAAAGCAAGTGTCAAACCGGAATCTTTACACATCATGGATGTAGATCAGAGGTGAGGTCAGAGGTCACTGGTGGCTCTGGGGTAAAAAAAAACTTGTTTAAGTGTGGCTTTGTTTGCTTTGATGAAGGTGCGTAGTTAAAAAATAATCAATAATACTTTAGGTCAGGAGTGTGAGTCTGGTAGGTGGTTAATGGATGAAAACCTTGACCTGCACGTTGAAGTGTTGAAGTTTCGTCCATTTTCTTTTGAAGGTTTTGTTACTGCTGCTTGTAGAACGACTGCTTTTAGCACGTCTTACTTGTTTCTTTCGTGTATCGACGAAATGCAACAGTGATGCTGGAGTGCACACGATCCATAAATGGTACGAGTGCTAACACTAAAGACATTGAGGTGTGATGTTAATACATTTAACTGTCTGGTCTTCAGATCTATTTATTTATTTTTGGAGTTTCATTTTGCCCCTAGTGGTTGTTGTTGTCTCCTCTGGTCTCTTTGTGAATCTGCCCCAGGGTCCAGCTGACAGGCTCTGACTTATGGCTATGTGCTTGGTAAACTATGTTAAATGATCCGTCCGTCGATCCTATCGTGACTCACAATGCACACACACACACACACACACTTCCCCCTCCACCCCCACACACACATAGACCAAACACGGGCATGGTACAAAATTGGCTTGGCTTTCTCTGTGATTGTATCAGCCCATTCACCTGTGAGACTCTCTCTCTCTCCCAGAGCCAATTATCTGTCCTTATCTGCGAACACTCTTCTGCCTCGCTGTGTTTGTTTGTGTGTGTGTGCTTGTATGTCCGCTGCGTGTGTGTGACACACGTTGAATGCCCCCCCTCTTTCTGTACAGTGCTGAGGTGTGTGATTGGCAGGTGAGAGTGTGAGAAAGTTCTCGTCAGAAAGCCTACCTGGATTAGTTACAGGGCCGGGCTGCAGAGAGGGCTGGGCTGCAGGGGAGAGAGAGCCGGGACGCACGGTGGCTGAAAGACCTGCTTTATCTTTGGCCATCTTTGGGAGGTG